ATGTATGATGATGTATCTGTGATGGTCAGATTCAGGGATTCCAGGTAAATCGGGAACTGACCATCTCTTGGATGGGTTGGTATTTGGAATATGTAGAAATGTTTTTTGTGCAGGTACCCATACAGAAGGGGTTCTGTCCCAAACAAATGGACGAGCACTCTCAGGCTCCAGGTACCAGCACCTCTGAACTACCAGAGATGATTGATATGAGTAGTTGCATTGCATATAGACTGTTGCATATATGTTCAAATGGTTCAGGGCACATGACAAACCATGTGGCCCAATACAACTTACAAATAACGTACTCACCATCTGTACACACCAATGCATTTTCAACACTACTGACTCATCACCCTTCCAGACTTGTAGTAGATTTACTAAAGCTCTGGAGCTTCAAAGGGCTCCCATACAGGTATCATAAACACACCTTTAAGGAATATAGCATGCCCTCACTTACAGTCAGCACAACAAAACCATTGGCTGAAAACACACTCATAGCCAAGATTTGCAGAGTGGTCTTCCAATCTCCACCATTTACAGCATGGCACCAAACACACACATTGGTATTGTCACAAGGAATCTTCCCTTAAACAAAGACTAACCATAGACTTATTGGCACCACACACCTCCACTACCCCAAGTCTCAACTCCCTTCTTACTATACAACACCATTGATCTACCTTTACAGCTATCACTCAAGCATGGGTTAAAGCTTGGTTAAGTAAGACCAATATCATCAACGCAGTAAACAGCTACCATCTACCCTACACACTGGCACTTACATGGCATAAATTGGGCAATACTTTCCCTGCTCAACTTTCGAGCTACAGATTAACCTACTATCGCTATTCGCAGATACTCTGTGCTGGTTATGATAACATATCCAGAGGCATTACAGTCATACACTATCTAGAAGAATTCTTGTTGCTCAAAGAAAGCATATTTTTCACTAGAAGCCTCATGGCAGCTTAGTCTGGTTGACCACTTGGGCGTCCCAGTACCCCATAAGAAACAGAAGGCGCAGACACTATCATCACATTACTGGGCATATGACTTGAGTCGGCATCCATACACGCAAGTTACCACAAGACAAATAGGGAACATTCTCAACTAAATCAATCACTACCTCCTGCTTAGTACTTACAACTACAAGGAACTACAATCCCTACCAGGTTCCTTAATTTTGCCATGCCAATCATACCACAAGACCACACTTTCACATCCAGAGTACTTTCCCCTTTTTTCCACACTTCCAACATGACGATCAGAGGAGGTGCCTAGACACCTCAGCAACAGCAGACCTGCACATGGGGGGGGGGATTTCTTAACCACTTGGCATGGTAAAAGCATGTTCCTTCCAGGATTGTCTGACACTTCTCCAACCAGATGGTCAGACGCAGCGTATACCACGGGTTTGGCAGCGATCTACCGGGAACAATTGCTTTGGGGCTGTTGGCCATGGCATCCAGGTTTGGAAATTTTTCCACCACTTCAGCCCCTTTGGGAGATCTACCCCATTGTAGCAGCTGCTGTGGCATGGGGTAAATCATGGTCAGGGTCATCAATCCGTTGTTACTCAGACAACTAAGCACATATCATATCATCAACAAACGCCACTACTCATCCATAAGTTCATGATGTTTCTGGGGAACTCACTTGGTTGGCCACTTATCACATTTCACTTTCATGTACCAGACGGGGGTATACATCCCTGCCGACAACTGTCTCATTTATATTCCAGGCATGTTCATCATACGCTTCCTACAGCCGCCCATACAGTCACGTCCACTCTTTCGTTCCAGAGACAAAATCATGGATTAGACATACTCATGCAGCATAGCATGCACTATCCCACCTAGCACTTTTGTCCCATACTTGTAGAACGCATAACACAGCTTTTCACCTGGCTTAAAGAATCTCATTGGAACACAACATAGCTCAACCTGTGTCACAAAATTTCTCCTAAGTTTTGCTTATTTTTGCCACCTTAAACTTAAACTATCTCATACACCATTAATTATATATTTTACAGGCATTCAACAACACATGATAACCTATGGCCAAAACTACCATAAACTTCATGCTATCATACCAGAAAGAATATACTCAGAGGTTTTCAGGAATCCATTCCCCACGTTCCTCTCAGAGATTACCAATAGCCATCCAACTGTTCATCCTTATCGGACCTATTAGATCTACAACCATTCAATTATACTACCAAGTCGGCCATTACCAGCCATGCACATTGCCTTTTATGCCTTTCTCAGGCCAGAGAATCCACTACCATCACCACCACTCAGACAGATCATTGTCTTCAACGATCCCACGTACGTAAACACATATATCATTACCTATTGGCTCTACCACATTCCGAAATGAGTCAACATGCACCAACAGTAGAGATAACATACTATCCTACCCACAACAAATGGTGCCCACTTTCGGTCCTAGATTCCTACCTTCAAAATCCTTTCAGGAATTAAATACTGTAATGCATTTAAGGAAATGTCTGGTTAATTTGTATATATTTGTTGACTGTATTAAATCTTTGATTATTCATTTTGCCCTCTTTATTTACAGGCCTACCGTATCGTCGGTATCGGCACACCACAACCGACTTGCTCCCTTTACACTATCCTAAGCTTATGCTGGATCCTTACTCCATATACGGCTATTTTGCCCCTTACACAAGTATTAAGGCAGTTTTGCCTGTATTTGTGGGAGGGGCTTAAATTAATTCACTCCCCTATATAAGGGACACCCCTTACCTGACTCATATCGCTTGAGGTCAGCATCAGAATGACCCTCCCACCCACTCCTCATTTCAACACTTTCTCTTTTCTTTCCATTTACTTTACTTTCTTACTCCTTGGTGGGCCCTCTTTATTTACAGGCCTACCGTATCGTCGGTATCGGCACACCACAACCGACTTGCTCCCTTTACACTATCCTAAGCTTATGCTGGATCCTTACTCCATATACGGCTATTTTGCCCCTTACACAAATATATATATATATATATATATATATATATAAAATAAATGTAATAACCCCTCACTCCCCCCACAGCCATGTGGCTCCCAAGATGGTACTGCCTTTCTAAAGGCAGTGTATCATGGGGCTTCATCATAGAGGCAGGCTAGGGACATCCAATCAGAGCTTGCCCCTGTAACAATTTTATTCTAACTATGATCCCCATTTGTCTGATCAGGTCAATATTAGTAAATATTGACTCTGATCAGTATAGATCTCCCTCCCTCTCTTCACTTGTGTTTTAGTGAGAGAGATCTGTGTTTTAGGTAGAAAAAATTAGGTAGTTTTTAGGTAAGGATTTGTAAAATTGTCAGACCCAAAAGCTCTTTTCAGAGCTATTAACCCCTATCCTGCCAGTGATCACTGTATAGATCACTGGCTCTTGCACAACAGCACTTATTTTGCTGTCTGTGCATTTTTATTTTTTTAGGGGTTAATTTTTTGTAGTGTGTGTATGTGTGTGTTTGTTTTTTTTCTGACAGGTCACTAAATAAAGTGATTGTGATCATGTCACAGAGGTCGTATAGCACTGAGGAGGCATATGCCATCCTTGCGTTAGAGTCTGACGCGTCTATGTCTGACTCCGGCCCTGATTTTGACCCTGCCAGGACTCAGATACATCACTAGATACAGTGTCTGCTGCTAGTGATGAATCCAGTTATGATGTATCTGTGGCTGCTAGTCCCCCTGCCAGAAGGAGACATACTGCTCCAGCTGAGGAGTAGGTAGCGCCTCATAGTCAGAGGTCAGATATCTCACCCTTCTCCGCAAATCCTGGGATCAATGTGGATGTTGTAGGATTTTACCCCCAAAATCTTATGGAGATGTTTCTGGGCGATGATGTATTGGGGAATATTATTGCCCAAGCTAATTTATATGCCCATCAGTTTCCATGCTGCAAAGCCTGACTCTTTTTTTGGCAAAGAAACAATGGGCCCCCATCGATGTGCCAGAATTTAAAAAATTTGGGGCATTGACTATGCTGATGGGCAATGTAACGAACGCTGGTATATCCTATACCTGTTCGTCGGTTTCCTCCTGAAGTAAATGATTCTCCATACAAAATAATAGCTTCCCAAGTATATTCTCCCAGTAAAGCAGACAGGTACCCAAACATCAGCCAAAACTAGATGAAGGGTGTAACAGAACTGAATTTTAATGGGTGCCACACTGGCTTTTATGCAAGTCCCCATGCAAGGGGACCTCCCACGTGGACCTTGTGGCACAGGGACATAAATCATACAGCCAAAAATAATACAGGGGAAAACTGTGACACTCCTGTGGTGTATTACCAAATTCTATAAATTATTATGTACGCATACACATATAAACTCTGGTCCGTCTACTTTAACAAATATTTATTCAGAGACAAAACAACAACAACATACAAATAATGACACACAATCTAACTAACTATACCACCAACAACAGCAACAACAACCTAACTAACAATAACAACTACATCTTATAAAATCCCACTCACAGTTCACCATGATAGAAATAAGGCCATGTCTGCTTAAAGGACTGCTCAGTAGCACAGCCAAGAAGGAACAGAGAGGAATGGGGATAGGGGGAAGTGGTTATCTCTTTCCTGACTAGTAAAGGTATTGAATTACCAATTAACATTTCAAAAGGGTAAAGCTTATCCCACTGTAAGAGCTTGGTCACATGATCACTGGTCACCATATTAGTTTGATGACAGAATGTCACCACATTCCCTCACTTTTTTTTCTCTTATGTTGAGCACATTTAAAAGTGAGAGAATATAGTCAAACAGGGGTTGCATCACCCCACATTCCCCCAATTTCAATTGTTTTCAGTTGTTCCATTTTTAAATTAACCACTGCCCAAGTGGGTTGGTAAGAACCCTGGTAGTTGTTCATTAATATTATATGGTAATGTGTTCATGTGAAGTAGTAATATCTAGACGCAATCAACCCCATACAGTAATTATCACTAGTTTATGACACAATATGATGTTTAATTTCGCCTGGGACTGGAATCTGAAGACTGTGACTGATCTGTGTGCTTGATAGCTGTGATTTTAGAATGAACTCTCCTTGAATATTGTCTTTGCCAATCCATTACAAAGCTTGAGGTTTGTAGGTTTAATGACACATGCAAGTTCATGAGTGTAGGGTAAACTCTTTCTGTGACCACCTTGAAATGACACAAATTCCTGCTTCTTGCTGTTACTTTACCCTCATTCTGGGCTGTGTTAATAGTTTGACTTGGTAATCTCAGCACTTCTTCATCTGTATAGTATCCATTTTCGGGATAATAGTTTGACGTGTAATCCCAGCACCTCTTCATCTGAATAGTAATCATTTTCAGGATAATAGTTTGTCTTGGTAATCCCAACACTTCTTCATCTGTATAGTATCTATTTTCAGGATAATAGTTTGACGTGTAATCCCAGCACCTCTTCATCTGAATAGTAATCATTTTCAGGATAATAGTTTGTCTTGGTAATCCCAGCACTTCTTCATCTGTATAGTAAACTGTGACAGGACATGTCAGTTACCTTCGCCTCTCTGGGCCTTCCAATTAAAATGTTCTTTGAATCAAACACAGACAATGAAATATGTACAACAGTAATCAGCATATTGTCTTGTGTCAAAGGCTTAACTAGTTTTGTCTAATAAAATCTATTTGGTTGTGGTGTCTTAAGGCTATGTTTACATTTTAGAGGTATTTAAAAGACCCACAAATGTCTCCTGAAATTTTGATTAATTTAGACATTTACTCCACACCTGATGGTGAGTTGAACACAAAACCATATTAGTTATTTTATAATTTACTGATGAATACATGCAATAATCACAAAATGTACATAGTTTAAACCGAACATTATTATACATGAACGTGAGTGGGAAAGATGTAAGGGTGAAAAATGTATTCGCAATTGAACGTAGGTGCAAATTCTCATACCCATAACTATTTAACCCCCTGCGGATAGCTAAATAGAACAAATAGCATACATTTTCACTTTATTATTTATGCCATCTTCACTCAAAGCAATCTAATTTCCCTATATTCTTAATGACAAAGAAAAACAAAGCATCAAAGATGGAGAGAGAAGAAAAAAAAAAGTAGATTGAATGCTACCATTACACAGTTTGGCAGCGTGCAATCTATAGAAAACTGTCTGTTGCTATTCAAAAATCAAAATCAAAAATCAACTTGAGGTTATATTTGTTGGGAACCAAATTTAAAAAAAAAATGCTTTTAAAGTTTTTACTGTTGTAAACCAACAGAAAGTTACACTATCACATCTCTCCAGTGTGATCAAATATAAGCCTCACGTTGGCAACAATTCACTTAATCTATGAATTTATAATTATTAATCCAGCATCAAAAAATAAAACATAGCTGGCAGTGCAGGCGTGCTAAACTAATAAAAACAAAAATTATTTGGAATTTGGCCCACCTGACTGTAATGAATGAATTTAGAGGCTTATCCTTAGTATGACTAAAAAAAAATATATATATATATATATATTTATATATATATAACAATACATACTAAGGTCCTCTTTAAACTGGAGTGTTACGAGATAATGGTGAGACAGATAAAATATAGAAACAAAAGAAAAAACAAACATACATACAGATGTAGAGGACAACAAAAATTATGGGAGTTATTCATTGCTGGGGACCCCCAATTGATCAGTATTTCCCTCTCTCATCTGTTCCCTAAGCGCTTTCATGACTGCCTCCAATCTCTCAGTCTGTCTCTTTAGGTCCCAGTAGTCTCTATTCCCTTCTTTATTCCTTCAATTATCCCAATTCCGTCTATTGGTCTGATCATCCCATCTATGGTTCCTTTTCCAATTATTCTCCCAATAACTGTTCCTGTTGTTTCTCTGTTTTTCTTGCCATCTGTGATTTTCCCAGTTATCTCTCCTTTTTAGCTTCTCCCAGGTGTTATTATTATTCCAATTATTATTGATTACCTTAGGCTCCTCCCATCTATTTTTCCAATTATCTCCCATTACATTGCTTCCTTTAGAACTGTCCCTATTCCTATGGTCCCTCTGTGGATCTCTCCATCTTTTGTCAAAGTCCTGTTTTGGTCTCCAGTTCTCATTATCCCTCTTGTTCTGAGGTACATCCCACCTTTGGCTTCTCCATTTGCCATCTAAATCTCTGCCAGAGTCAACCTTGAATGTTCTTATGGCTGAAACAGATAAGGCCTGTTCTGAGGAAGGATGCTTAAGCCACCAATTATCAGCTCTAGTTAGTAGCATTTCTAAGTCTACTGGTGTTGGATCAAAAAGCCTGACAAATTCTTGACACTCCCAGGGAAGGGCTTCCATTACTTTAGTAATATGTTGTGGTGAGCCCAAGACCAGAGGCTGTTGAGGTTGGCGTAGTGTATACCAGAACAATATCCTTTGAGCTACCTCTCTAGGACCATCTGCTGGCCTCATCGTAATATTTGCTATTTCTTTCTCTATGCTGAGTAGATAGAAATTAGTTTCAGCAATTCTTCCTGCCTGATCAGACACACTGTTATTAAATCCACATAGTCTGCTAGCCAAAGGACC